GTGGTGTTGAGGAATCGAACCTAGGGCCTCATGCATGCAAGGCAAGCACTCTACCACTGAGCCACCTTCCCAGCCCATCGTCTGTCTTTCTTTCTTCCTTCCTTCCTTCCTTCTTTTCTCTTTTTTTCTTTCTTTCTTTCTTTCTCTCTCTCTCCTTCCTTCTTTCTTTCTCTCCTTCCTTCCGGCTTGCTTGCTTTCTATCCTTGGGCTTGAATTTGGAGCCTGGACACTGTTCCTGAGCTACTTTTGCTCAAGGCTAGCACTCTACTACTTGAGCCACAGTACCACTTCCAGCTTTTTCTGTTTATGTAGTACTGAGGAATTGAACCCAGGATTTCATGGTAAGCATTCTACTACTAAGCCACATTCCTAGTCTCCCGGGCTGGCTTTGAAGTGTGATCCTCAGATCTCAGCCTTTTGAGTAGCTAGGATTACAGGAGTGAGTCACTGGTGTCCAGCTTTCAGACCCTTTTTTCATTGGTTATTTAGAAGGTAGGGACTCACTCTATACCCAGGCCAGCTTCTGTCATCATCCTCCTACTTGTGTTTCCCATGTAGCTTGGGAAAGCTATCTTTCTTCAGGCCGCATTACTGGGAAGTGGCTGAGGTGGGGTTTGAACCCATATCCTTTTTTTTTTTTTTTGGCGGTCATGGGGCCTGGGCCTGGGCACTGTCCCTCAGCTCTTTTATTTATTTATTTTTTTTTGTCAGTCGTGGGGCTTGAACTCTGGGCCTGGGCGCTGTCCCTCAGCTCTTCAGCTCAAGGCGAGCGCTCTACCACTTGAGCTACAGCGCCACTTCCGGTTTTCTGGTGGTTTATTGGAGATAGGTCTCACGGTCTCTCCTGCCCGGGCTGGCTTTGAACCTTGATCCTCAGATCTCAGCCTCCTGAGTAGCTAGGATTACAGGCGTGAGCCACTAGCGCCCGGCTTGTCCCTCAGCTCTTTAGCTGTAGACTAGTGCTCCACCACTTGAGCCTCAGCCCACTTCCAGATTTTTCTGCCTATGTGGTGCTGGGGAATCGAACCTAGGGCCCCAGGCATGCAAGGCAAGCACTCTAGCACTGAGCCACCTTCCCATATCCTCTTGATACCAGAGAAGGGAAGGTTATACCAGGGAAAGGAAAAGGAGTCCAGGCATGAGAATGAACAAATGAGGAAGACTGGAATTCTAAGTGAAGAGTTCCATGTGGTACACGAACACTGAGGATCACATGGGCAAGCACTCTGCGAGGCCTGGGGTGGAAAGGTAAGCTATGCTGCATAGATCAAAGAACAGGAAAGAGTCCCTGCCTGTCCGCAGCTTATTATCTTGGTGGAATGCCAGGTTGGCGGGTAAGTCATAACTTATGAGAGGTACAAGGGCAGACAGCCTTGGATTCAAATCAGATTTCTGTCATTTTCTAGTTCTGTGACCTTGGAAAGAAGTTCCATTTCTCTGAATTTTATTTATTATTATTTTTTTTTGTCAGTCATGGGGCTTGAACTATGGGCCTGGGCATTGTCCCTCAGCTCTTCAGCTCAAGGATAGCACTCTGCCACTTGAGCCATAGCGCTACTTGCGGCTTTTTCTGCTTACGTGGTGTTGAGGAATCAAACCCAGGGCCTCATACATGCAAAGCAAAGCACTCTACCACTGAGCCACCTTCCCAGCCCTGAATTTTAATTTCTTTCTTTTTTTTGGGGGGGAGGGGTCCAGTCGTGGGGCTTGAACTCTGGGCCTGGGTGCTATCTCTCAGCTCTTCAGCTCAAAGCTAGCGCTCTACCACTTGAGCCACAGCACCACTTCTGGCTTTTTTCTTTTTGCTTAGGTGGTGCTGAGGAATTGAACCCAGGTCCTTAGGCATGCAAGGCAAGCACTCTACCACTGAGCCACCTTCCCAGCCCCTGATTTTTAATTTCTTTACAAAATGTTCACCTGTTTGACTGGTGGCTCTGTTTTTTTTTTTTTTTTTTTGTCAGTAGTGGACTTGAACTCTGAGCCTGGGCACTGTCCTTTAGCCCTTCAGCTCAAGGCTAGTGCTCTGCCACTTGAGCCACAGTGCCTCTTCTAACTTTTTCTGCTTATGTGGTACTGAGGAATTGAACCCAGGGCCTTCATGCATGCAAGGCAAGCACTTTACCACTGAGCCACTTTCCCAGCCTCCTTTTGTTTGTTTAGCTGTATTTTTTTTGTCTCTTCTTTTTTGATACTGGGGATCAAACACAGGAAGTTACACTTGCTAGACAAGTGCTTTGCCACTGAGCTACATCCCAATCCATCTGTTAGATCTTTAGTAACACATGATCATTTGATCATATCATCTTCAAAGCCCAAGTTACATTCTTATTTGAAAACTTTAGTGAGGCTGGGCATGGTAGTTCACACCTATAATCCCAGCACTCAAGAAGCTGAGGCAAGAAGTCAGAGAGCTTAAGCCAGCTACATACTGAAATCCTGTCTTAGGGAAAAAAAAAAATAGCCAGGCACTGGTGGCTCATGCCTGTAATCCTAGCTACTCAGGAGACAGAGATCTGAGGATCACCGTTCAAAGCCAGCCTGGGCAAGTCCAATAAACCACCAGAAAACCAGAAGTAGCACTGTGGCTCAAGTGGTAGAGCAGTAGCCTTGAGATGAAGAGCTGAGGGACAGCGCCCAGGCCCAGAATTCAAGTCCCACAACCAACCAAAAAAAAAAAAAAAAGGAGTGGGAAGTTGGCTCAGTGGTAGAGCCTTGCATGCTTGAGGCCCTGGGTTTGATTCCTCAGCACCACATAAGCAAAAAGAAAAAAGCCGTAAGTGTCCTTGTGGCTCAAGTGGTAGAGTGCTAGCCTTTAGCTGAAGAGCTGAGGGACAGCGCCTAGGCCCAGAGTTCAGGCCCCACGACTGGACCCAAAAAAAAAAAAATGCACTGGGAGAAAGTAAGGGAAGGGGTGACACTGTCCAAAAGGAAATGTACTCTTTATCTGACTCATTTAATTGTAACTCACTTTTATAATATAAAAAAATTTAAGCCGGGTGCTGGTGGCTCACGCCTGTAATCCTAGCTACTCAGCAGGCTGAGATCTGAGGATCGCGGTTCAAAGCCAGCCCGGGCAGGAGAGACCATGAGACTCCTATCTCCAATAAAAACCACCAGAAAACCGGAAGTGGCGTTGTAGCTCAAGTGGTAGAGCGCTTGCCTTGAGCTGAAGAGCTGAGGGACAGTGCCCAGGACCAGAGTTCAAGCCCCACGACCGACCAAAATAAAAAATAATAATAATAAAAAAATTTAGCCGGGTGCTGGTGGCTCACACCTGTAATCCTAGCTACTCAGGAGGCTGAGATCTGAGGATTGTGGTTCAAAGCTAGCCCAGGCTGGAAAGTCTGTGAGACTCTTATCTCCAACTAGCCACCAAAAACAAACAAACAAAAAACAGAAGTGGAGCTGTAGCTCTAGTGGTAGAACACCTGAGTAGATAAAGCTCAGGGACTGCCTTTCAAGCCCCTGGATCAGCACACACACACACACACACACACACACACGATGTGGAGGCACAAGTCTGTACTCCCAACATCGAGAAGCTGAGTTCTAGGCTAGCTAGACCATATAGTATAGTCTGGACTATACGACAAGACTTGGTCTCAAAAACAAAAAAAAAGGGGGGGGGGAGGAGGGGGAAGAGTAGAAGTTAGGTGTGGTGGTGCAAAACTATAATTTCAGCAATTTAAAACTAAACAGGACTGGGGCTGGAGGTTTAGCCCAGCAGTAGGGCGCCCGCCCACGCAAGGCCCTGGGTTCAGTCCTCAGCCCTGGAAAAAAAACAAAAAACTAAACAGGACTGCAGTTCCAAGCCAGCTTGATCAAAAAGTCAACAAGAGGGCTGGGGAGGTGGCTCAGTGGTGGAATGCTTGCCTTGCATGCATGAAGCCCTGGGTTCCATTCCTCAGCACCACATAAGCAGAAAAAGCCAGAAGTGGCGCTGTGGCTCAAGTGGTAGAGTTAGCCTTTAGCTGAAGAGCTGAGGGACAGCACTCAGACCCAGAGTTCAGGTCCCATGACCACCAACAACAAAAAAAGTCAACAAGACCTGTCTCTAAAACAAGCCATCATTGGATGCTGGTGGCTCTTATGGGTAATTTAAACTTCTCAAGAGGCTGAGATCTGAGGTTGGAGGTTTGATGCCAGCCCAGGCAGGAAAGTCTAAGAGTCTCTTATCTCCATTAAACCAGAAAAAAAAAAAAAAAGGCAGGACGTTGTGTTAGCCTTGAGCAAAAAGGTCAGCTACAATGCCTAGGCTATGATTTCAAGCCCCACAGCCATCTACTCGGTAGACAAAAGTAGAAAGATCACAGAGGCTGCTCAGTAAAAGAAAATATCAAAAAAACACTACAAAAAGCAAAAGACCTGGGAGCATGGCTTGCGGGGATTATTTGCTTGCTTTTAGGACAAGAGATAAAACATGTGTAACAGCAGGAATGATCTCGTTGAAGAGGGGAAAACATGTGGTTTGGAGTGGTGGACCACTAGAGATGGTCTTTAGGCAGACAAAAAGCTATGGGATCATGTTGGTCGGTTGACCTCAGGTAAGAAGCACCCTTGCAGGAGGGAAGGGAAAGAATGGAGGCGGAGGCTTAGGTGGAGGTGGCCGACGGGGCGGTGAGATCTGCGGACACTCCCCCTCGCCAAACTCATAGAAACACAATCTCCCTCTTCCTGGTGGCCTCCAGATTATTCTGGACGGTGAGCTTGTGTATTCTGAGCTACGATAACTGAAGGTGTGTCCGCTTCTCTAGCATCCCCCAGGGATCCCCGCAAAGGCGGCCTCGCAGTCGCCTCTTAATTTTTCTGCAACCCCTTCAAACTCGGCCCCGGAGCCCCGCAGTCTGCGTACGTTGAATCACCTTGAAGAGACACCGAGCTGCGACTACGCAGTTGGTTTCACAAAGGGGGGCGGTCCTCGCCTTGCGCTCCGGGATCCAGACGTTCGAGCCCGGCCCCCTCTTCCCTCCCACCTCCCTCCTCCCTCGGCCCCCGACAACCCCGAAGTTAGCCCACTGGGCCACCGTAACTCATGTCCGCCGCTACCCAGAAAGAACCAAGGTTGGTGGGGGTGGGACCTGAGGACAGAACTAAATCGAGATTGGGTCGAGAGCTTAGAGGCGGAGTTTGAAGGCTAGCTTCGAGCTGAGATTGGACCGAGCTTAGAGAGGCGGAGCCTAATGATGGAGCGGAAGGAGGGATTGGGTTGAGGGCGGGGCCGGCGCACGGATTGGGCGGTGTGCTCAGGGGCGGTGCTTAAGGGGGCGGTGCCGTGTCGGAAGTCAAAGGTCGGTAAATAGTGGTGATGTCATGCAGGCAAGATGGCGGAAGGGTGAGCTTGTCGTTCGGCTCCCAGGCGTTGGGGCCTGAGTCCTCCTGGGGTTTGGATTGCCTGGCCAGCGTGCCTGTGGGGAACGGGAGATCAGCGTGAGCTCGGACGGAGCCGAGAGGACAGAGTGGGGTGACAGGCCGGACGGGTGGGGCAGCGGCCTGCGCAGCCACGGCCCGCGGGACACCTCGGAGGGGGAAATGGAGGGTCGTAGTGGCACGGCGGGGCCGCCAGATGTGTCTGTCTTCCGCAGGGAGGACGTGGGGTGGTGGCGAAGCTGGCTGCAGCAGAGCTACCAGGCCGTCAAAGAGAAGGTAAGTTGGACCAGCGCCTTTCTTTGCCCGGTCGGGCTCTGCGCCGCCGTATTGCGACCTGGTCCAACCTGTCCTGCCCGACTTTTGCGGGCCCCTGGCCTCCCTGAGGTTTACTTGAGCCCCACGTCCCCTGACTCCTGACCATGAGAAGGTGGGTCCCAACGCAGACCAGTGTAATACCAGCTACAGATTGTTTAAAAAAGCTGAAGCAACCCTTTCCAAAGAATCCATAGAAAAAAACTATTTATTCGAGCTCAGGAAATTGACAACTTCCTGGTGGGACCGAGGACATTGACTGCAAGCCTTGAAGGGTTCTAACAATGAAGAAACTTATTCCTATAGTCATTTGAAGTATTAAAGTATGTGCCAACCAGCACACTCTGACACGTCCTGATGAAGAAGCAGCTGCAGGCCTTACAAAGCTCAGAGTCTGGTGGGGAGACAGTCATTAACCAAATAGTCAAAAATGGCTGTTTAAGCCAGTCACCTAACTACTCAGGAGGCAGAGGTCTGAGGATCACGGTTCTAAGTCAGAGCAGGCAGAAAAGTCAATAGTGGCGGTGTGACAGAGCACCAGCCTTGAGCACAAAAGCTAAAGAACAATATCTAGGCTCTGAGTTCCAGCCCCAGTGTCCTCCCACCTCCCACAAAAGGCTGTTTACTTACTGTTATATAGTAAGTGCTGTGAAAGGAAAGTACCAAAATGTTTGTCCAGTGTAGGTAATCAAGGATGTGACAGGAAAGGGATGAGGAAAGGCTATCCACGCCAACCTGCCCAGACAGGGTGAGGAGCAAGAACCCAGGCCAGTGAAGAGCTTCAGGTATACACACTGATGCCTGATGAGTTCTCATTGAATAATGATTTGCAAAGAGGGCTGGAGAGCTCCATACTCATAGAGTGGAAATCTTTGCAGGCTAGCTAAGCAATCCCTGTAAGATAAACAGCTCTTGTCCTTCCAGTGGGTAATGCTAATGGATATTCAGTAATTTGTTTAAAACAGCCCATTTGGGGCTGGGAAGGTGGCTCAGTGGTAGAGCGCTTGCCTTGCATGCATAAGGCCCTTGGTTCGATTCCTCAACACCACATAAGCAGAAAAAGCCGGAAGTGGGGCTGAGGCTCAAGTGGTAGAGCGCTGGTCTATAGCTGAAGAGTTGAGGTACAGTGCCCAGGCCCAGAATTCAGGCCCCAGGACAGAAAAAAACAAAAAACAGCCAATTGAGTTGTGGAAAAAATTATTATCTACTGCAAGCAAGCAGAGTGAGTCTTGCTTTAGGAAGACTCAGCCATCCACTTTCTGGCAGCATTTTTTTTTTTTTTTTTTGGTGCCAGTCTTGGGGCTTGAACTCAGGGCCTGGGCACTGTCCCTGAGATATTTTTGCTCAAGGTTAGCCCTTTACTTCTCTGAGCTACAGCTCAGCAAATTGGAAAATACCCAGAGCTATTTATGTTAATGATGAGAGACCCAGAATAGCGTGCTTACTTTTGATCAGTAATCATGGAAGGAAAGTAACATTCAGAAGTTTTGCAGGAAAAAAAAATGTTTTGCAGGAGGGCCTCCTGTGTATTTCTCTGAGGGATGTTCTTGCCTAAACCAGGAAGGTAGTTGGTCAGCCTAAACTTGAAATTCCCAGTTTTAAAGCAGGAGAGATGATGGATATTGTTTCTGCTTTTTTGGAATGTAAAGACTTAATTTTCCTTTCTTATATACTACTTTTATATGAACTTCAACACATTATTTAACCTCTTGAGGCCTTAGCTCAAGTGTATAATGAAAATAATTCCTACCTAATGTGATTGTCATGAGAATTAAATGAAATGAGAATTACATGAATATAATACACAAAAAATAATTCTTAGAACATTAAATACTTACAATCATGTGTTAATGCTGAAAGTGATAGGAAAACTCTTGGGCAGCATTATCAGTCTATTTTCTACCCTTTTCGTTTGTTTGTTTGTTTTGGTCAGTTGTGGGGCTTGAAGGCTGGGCCTATGTGCTATCCCTGAGCTCTTTAGCTCAAGGCTATTGCTCTGCCACTTGAGCCACAGCGCCACTTCCTTTTTTGGTAGTTAATTAGAGATAAGGATCTCAGACTTTCCTGCCAGAGCTGGCTTTGAACCTGGATCCTCAGATCTCAGACTCCTGAGTAGCTAGGGTTACAGGTGTGAGCCACTAGTGCCTGGCCCTTTTTTGTTTTTATGTGGGGCTTGAACTCAGGACCTGTGCATACCCTTGAGCTTCTTTTGCTCAAGACTAGTGCTTTACCACTTGAACTCTACTTCCAGCTCTTTGGAGCTAAGAGTCTTAAGACTTTCTTGCCCGGTCTGGCTTTGAACCAGATCTCAGCCTCCTGAATATGCTAGGATTATAGGCCACCAGCACCCAGCTCCAACCATTTCTTTTCTTGGTCTTTGGTTCCTTTCCTGGTCTTACTTCCTGTCCTGATTCCATTAGGGCCACTCCCATTAACATACCTGGTCCTTATAGGTCTGAGAGGGCTGTAATTTCCTTCCTCTGCTCCTCACCTCCTCCTGTTGTGTCCTATGTATGCTCATAAATGCTAGCACATACACACTAATAGAGAAGGGCACATTGATCTTTGGTTCACCAAAGACTTGACCTCATCTGAGCCAGAGCGCTCCTCAGAAAGCCTTTCAGCTTTGAATTTGCTTCAGAAAGTCTTCCCGCATGGTTCTGTTCCACAGCTCTGTCCCTTTCATTCCCACAAGACAACCTCCCATACTTTTTTTTTTTTTTTAATTTTGTTTTTGGGTCCAGTCGTGGGGCCTGAACTCTGGGCCTGGGTGCTGTCCCTCAGCTCTTCAGCTCAAGGCTAGCGCTCTACCACTTGAGCCCCAGCGCCACTTCTGGCTTTTTTCTTTTTGTTTATATGGTGCTGAGGAATTGAACCCAGGGCCTCATGCATGCTAGGCAAGCACTCTACCACTGAGCCACCTTCCCAGCCCCCCTCCCATACTTTTTGAAATTTGAGGTCAACACATAATCTGAATTTACTGAAGCCACTGCCTATAAACTTATCTGTAGTCATACTCTGCTTCACCTACTGCTTGCCAAATCTAATGGGTGTTTTTCAACTCTTATCTTCCTGGACCTGCTGTATTCAAAACTAGTGATTACTTCTTTTCCTTGAAACTCTTGACATGGTTTTCACCCAATTACCATATATATCTCTAGTTTACCTTGTGATTGTGAGCTCCTGTTCCTTTGCCTGCCCCATAAAGGTGGGTTCTGAGGATGCTTGTCTTCAGCATACTTCTCCATTCACTTGTCAGACTCTTCTGTGGGTGAGCTCCTCCCTTCATGTTAAGGTGATTTCTGTTTTTTTCCCCTGTGCTTCAGTGTTTGAGGTTTGCTTCTGTTGGATGACTCTCTTAGATATCCAGCTATCACCTCAGATTCTATATGCCCAAAGTCATTACTGGAAATGGACAGCATCCAGCAGTATAAGTCCTTTGAAATTATTTGGTACATGATAAGACAGACAGACAAATATGCTTGTAGGTGGCTCGTGCACTGCTTTTGGCCATCTTCCCGTGTTGGTCATTTTGTATGGCGTGCAGATGTTATAAGTATCCAGATGGCCCTTAGCAGAACAAAGGTTTCCCACCTCTGCTCTAACCCTTCTCTTCATTAGTACTTTTTCACCTTGCTGGCAGTACTTGATTTAGTCAGTCACCTGTTTTATAGCCAGTTCTCCTTCCTTGATTGTTTTACTGCCTATCTGTTTAATCACCAGGTTCATGTTTTTCACCCCATCTTGCCCCCCTCGTAGGTTACTATAATAGCTTCCTGTTTTCCCTTACTCTCCTAATTTTGTCACCCTTGGACCAATCCTCTAAGCATTACTAGAGTAACCTAGAGTGAAAGGGAATCTCACATGTCCCACCTGCTTCACCTTTGGTGGCTCCTCTACCATAGAAAGGCAACCTCTCCAGTTTTGTTTTTTTTTGTGTGTGTGGGGGGAGAAGGGTGGGAGGGTAGGAGGGTAGGTCAGTCGTGGGGCTTGAACTCTGGGCCTGGGCACTGTCCCTCAGCTCTTCAGCTCAAGGCTAGTGCTCTACCACTTAAGCCATAGTGCCACTTCCGGTTTTCTGGTGGTTTACTGGAGATAAGAATCTCATGGACTTTCCTGCCTGGGCTGGCTTTGAACTGTGATCCTCAGATCTCAGCCTCCTGAGTAGCTAGGATTACAGGTGTGAGCCACTAGCACCCAGCCACCTCTCAAGCTTTGTTCCTCACCATTTTTGCTTTGGATTTTGTGTTCCTCAGGACTGAAATGCTTAAAAGCTTCAGTAAACCCCGTCCCCAGAGTTCCTTAGCTGATTCGTATTCTTTTTTGTTGTTGTGTTATTGTTGTTGGTCATGGGGTCTGAACTCTGGGCCTTGGGGCTGTCCCTCAGCTCTTCAGCTAAAGGCAAGTGCTCTACCACTTGAGCCACAGAGCCACTTTTGGCTTTTTCTGCTTATGTGGTGCTGAGGAATTGAACCCGGGGCCTCATGTATGCAAGGCAAGAACTCTACTACTGACCTACCTTCCCAGCCCCTCCTGTTCATTTTTAAAGAGTTTATTCCAGGCTTCCCTTCACCTCAACCTTCACCCTTCACCCTACCTCCCCATAAAGTGTCCATCTCTGCTGTGTCCCTGCCCATTCTTCTGTTATGTGAGCACTTCCCCAACATACTGCAGCCTTCTTACAGGCCAGCACCATGTGTATTTGTTTGTCCTCAGAGTTCACATTTAGTGGAGGAGACAACCATTCATGGAATAATCATGCTAATGGTTGCATAATTAAAACTGCCTTGGTACATGTAACAAACAATACGTTCTGATTGTTTTTTTTTAGAGGGCAGGGGACAGCACTGGGGTTTGAAATCAGGGCCTTGAGCTTGCGAGCTAGGTGTTCGCCAAGCAACAGTGTTTGAGCATGTATACCAGGTGAGCATCAGTGAGTAAAACATACAGTCTCTACATTCATGCTTTATCTAGGGACAAGGACAGTTGACAAGTAATGGAGAATTTACAGGATAGTAGATGTTTAAGAAGAAATGAGCAAGGGGTGACAGAGTAGCTAAAGAAATAGAGAGCACCTGCTTAGCAAACACAGAGCCCTTAGTTCAAACCCTAGGACCAGAGGGGTAAATTTGAGTAGGAGAAACCAAGAGTGAGGAGGGATGGAGGAAGTTTCCTAGGAAAGTGACATTGAAGCTTAGACCAGAATGATTACCATGAGTTAACCTGGTGAGAGGGTTCAGTCATGTGTTTTCTTGCTTGTTTGTTCTGAAGAGTTAGCTTCAGGGAGAGGGAGTACTATGTTTTGGTAAAGACCTTATTCTCATTCAGGTACCACTGGCTCACACCTATTATTCCAGCTACTGAGGAGTCTGAGATCTGAGAATTGAGGTTCAAAGCCAGTCTGGGTAGACAAATTTGAGAGACTCTTAGCCAGCAAAAAGCTGGAACTGCAAGCATGGTTCAGGTGGTAGAATACCAGCCTTGAGCAAAGAAAGCTTATCAAGAATGAGAGGCCCTGAATTCAAGCCCCAGTAGCTGCACAGAACTCACTTTTTCAGTTTTTTTCTATTCCTGGCTGGTGCCCTACCACTTGAGCCATGCTCCCAGGGTTTTTTTTTGATTAGAGATAAGAATCCTAAGAATTTACTACCTGGGCTGTGAGCCACCAGTGCCCAGCTTCTCAAAGTCTGTTTTGTTTACAGAATGTGTCCCTCTTTCCCAACCTCTGACCTGGGCTGCCTTCCACATTTATGAGGAAAAAAAAAACGAGGACCAGATGAGACTTACTCGTGGCCCCACAACTGTGAACTCCTAGGCTGAGACACAGTCCCTGTGCCAAAGAGTAGGGGGTCTTTTCTCTCTCTACTACCAGTAATTCCAGGTTGTGGAATTGAGCAAGTTAGCATTGTTTCTGAGCTCAGGCCCCCATGTCACTTGCCATTTCCATTTAGCTGTCTGGTTCTGAAGGAGCACAGCAAGTAAGAATGAAGTGATAGGCCAGGCGCTGGTGGCTCATGCTTGTAATCCTAGCTACTCAGAAGGCTGAGATCTGAGGATCATGGTTCAAAGCCAGGAAAGGGCAGGAAAGTCTGTGAGACTCTTACTTCCAATTAACCACCAGAAAATCAGAAGTGGAGCTGTGGCTCAAGTGGTAGAGCACTTGCCTTGAGCTGAAGAGCTGAGGGACAGTGCCCAGGCCCAGAGTTCAAGCCCCACAACCAACCAAAAAAAAAAAAAGAATAGGAGTGATGGTGCTCAGACAGCTCTGTCATCCTTCTCTGTTTTCCCATAGTCCTCTGAAGCTTTGGAGTTCATGAAGCGGGACCTGACAGAGTTTACTCAGGTGGTACAGCATGACACAGCCTGCACCATCGCAGCCACAGCCAGTGTGGTCAAGGAGAAGCTGGCTGTAAGTACTGTCCACACCTTGAGTGACTGCCCCTCACATCCTGCCCTGCCCTGGATCCTGGTGGGGACCCCCAACTTTTTGTCCTTAGGTGACTGTTTTTTCCTCTATGTGGGGAAACTATAGAAATACTCCCTCATTTTGAAAGAATTTTGCTTGTCACACACACTGTATATATGTGTATATATACATATGCACACATATGTATATATATATATATATGTATATATGTTTACATATGTGCAAACATACTCTATATGTGCATGTATATACATATGTGTGCATATATTGCACACATATGTGCATATACCTACTATTTTAGCAAAGTCATTGCAAATAAGAGCCGGGTGCTGGTAGCTCACGCCTGTAATCCTAGCTACTAAGAAGGCTGAGATCTGAGGATTGAGGTTCAAAGCCAGCCTGGGCAGGAAAGTCCGTGAGACTCATCTCCAATAAACCACCTGAAAACTGGAAGTGGTTCTGTGGCTCAAGTGGTAGAGCGCTAGCCTTGAGCCGAAGAGCTCAGGGACAGCACCCATGCCCAGAGTTCAAGCCCCACAACCAACCCACCCCCCCAAATACAAATAAAAGAGTAGTAAAAATAAAATAAAAAAAACATTTCCCAGATATAACTGTACATTTCTTTTTCAAAACAAGGATCATTTGATTGATTTTTTTGCGGGGGGGGGGGAGGTGGTCTGGTCGTGGGGCCTGAACTCTGGACCTGGGCGCTGTTCCTCAGCTCTTCAGCTCAAGGCTAGTGCTCTACCACTTGAGCCACAGCACCACTTCCCAGCTTTTTCCTTTTTGCTTATGTGGTGCTGAGGAATTGAACCGGGCCTCATGCATGCAAGGCAAGCGCTCTACCACTGAGCCACCTTCCCAGCCCCAAAACAAGGATCATTTGAAATTGTAGTTTTGTGGTCTTTTTTTTTTTTTTGGTTCAAGGCTTGGGCTTGAACTCAGGGCCTGAACATTGTCACCAACCAACCCTGCCTCTTCCCCCACTCCCCCCAAATCTAACACTCTACCACTAGAGCCCCAACTCTTTCCCGCTTTGGTGGTTGATTGGAGATAAGTGTGTCAGTTTTGTCTGCTCAGGCTGGTTTCAGACTGCAATCCTCAGATCTCAGCCATCTGAGTAGCTAGGATTACTGGCGCACGCCTGTGATCCAAGAGCATGTGACTTTTGTCCTTTTGTTGTTGTTGGCCATAGGGCTTGAGCTACGGGCCTGGGCACTGTTCTTGAGTTCTTTTCCTTTCCTAAGGCTAGCATTCTACTGCTTTGAGCCCCAGTGCCACTTCCAGTTTTCTGGTAGTTAATTGGAGGTAAGAGTCTCATGGATTTTCTTATCCAAGTTGGTTTTGAATCATGATTCTCAGATCTCAGCCTCCTGAGTACCTACGATTACAGGTGTGCACCACGCCCAGCTCTTGACAATTTTTGATTAGCCTAATTGGCTCTGATATTTTGATGAAATAGCCACTCAGATTTCTGCTCTGATCTACACAGGACTACTTTGACCCTTTCTGTATCATTATGAGTAGAGGGCTCTGTTTCCTTCCCTCTCCTTCAGCCCCAGAGATAGGGTACAAAGTTGTGAGCACTCTTCTGTCCCCACAATTGGTACACCTTTGCTCTGATGCTTTGTGCTCCAGATCCCAGATTGCAGCTTGCCTCTGGAACATTTGTTCTATTGCTTTTCTCTATAGACTGAAGGCTCCTCAGGGGCAACAGAAAAAGTGAAGAAGGGGTTGTCTGACTTCTTAGGGGTGATCTCAGACACCTTTGCCCCCTCACCGGACAAAACCATTGACTGCGATGTCATCACCCTGATGGGCACTCCCTCTGGCACAGCTGAGCCTTACGATGGCACCAAGGTATTCACTGACAGTGTTCTGAGTATATGTTAGGTCTTAGCTTCCAACTCTGGTCCACTCATAAGAACAACAAAAAGGGTTGGGAATGTGGCTTAGTGGTAGAGTGCTTTCCTAGCATGCATGAAACCCTGGGTTTGATTCCTCAGTACCTCATAAACAGAAAACATAAACAGCCAGTAGTGGTACGGTGGCTCAAGTGGTAGAGCATTAGCCTTGACTAAAAGAAAAGTAGCTCAGGGACTGTGTCTAGGCCCTGAGTTCAAGCTCCAGGACTGGCAAAAAATAAATATAGAGAACACCAATAAGGAGAAGATAATTACTGTATCATTAAACCCCTAATTGCATCACCTAATGATAATCTGACTTCTTGTTGGTCTATAGCCCTCCATTTCTTTTTGTTCAAACACAGGTAAAGATAGGTTGGAGTTTTTATTTTTTAACAAATAGGCACTTTATGTTTTGTTTTTGTTTTTCTGCTGGTCCCTGGGCTTGAACTCAGGGCCTAGGCACTGTCCCTGAGCTTGTTTTGTTTAAGGCTAGCACTCTACCACTTGAGCCACAGCGCCACTTCTGGTTTTCTGGTGGTTTATTGGAGATAAGAGTCTGACAGATTTTCTTGCCCGAGCTGGCTTTGAACTGTGATCTCAGCCTCCTGAGTAACTAGGATTACAGGCATGAGCCACTGGCCCCGGGCTTGAAAGTTATTAAGTATAAGATTTTAAGTTGTGACAACAATGACTCATCACCAAAACCATTTGCTGAAGTTCTGTTGTAGATAGCCTGTGCTTGGTGTAATGCTGAGGAAGATAAAGATTTCTGTTTATCAACTGAGCTCTGCCCCCCTGTGGCCCTAGTGGGAACATAGCATATATGACACTTGGCTGACCAGTGCCAGAATTTGAATTTTAAAATTTTTCATTGCTAGAGTATGGAGCCTTTTGCCTAATAAATGCTGAGTAAGCTACCTGCCCCTCTACTCCTAGCCCTAGAAATGATTGGTGAATGGTTTCAATTTAGGGATAGTAGGATTATTTCATGACTTGCCACTAAATTTGGACCCTATTAATATAATTGCATTTTCTGTCTTTCAAATTTCACCTATTTTAGCATTTTAAACAATTTTATAGCCTGCTTACTTTATTTGTATAGTTTCCTGGTGTAGAATATTGAGTTAAAGAGCACTTTTTTGGGAGCCCCAGTTCTAGGTTTTAGTCCAGTGCCATGGGCTCTGTGGGTTTGTGGAATTGGGTTGTGGTTGATATCCTATATAAAAGGATACTTTCTATGTCCAGCTTCCAGAATTTCTTTTTCCCTTTTCTGCCTCACAGGCTCGTCTCTACAGTCTGCAGTCAGACCCAGCAACCTACTGCAATGAACCTGATGGTGAGGGGGTAGCAGTGAGGGACTTGTGGGGCAGGCAGCCCAAGAAGGGATGCATGGTGGGCTCAGTTTGTCTCAGGGCCAAATACCTCCTAAGTTGAGGATTCACATACCTTTCATCCTGGGATGGTTTGGTGGTCCTTGTTCCTCACTGCCTTTATTCCAGCTCTGTCCTCTACAGAGACTTTGCTTAAAAACCTTGCTCTTTACCCTCTTTGCCCAGCCTCCTCCCAGCCCTTCCCTACCTGCATTCGTTTAGTTCCTGTTCGCTAAGACCCTGTCACTCAGTGAGCCTTATGCTGGGAACTAGAGACCAGGAAGAGTCAAACCCTCAAACTGGCCCATTCTTCCAGGAGCAGGCTGTTAAGAGGGAGACAAAGGGAAAGGAGAATCAAGCAGAGATGGTAAGGAGTAGAGTGCCTGCTTCTGCAGGAAGATAGAGAACACTAAACCAGCTGAATGAGCCTAGGAAGTGAACTTGAATTGAGGACTTAATAATGAATTAGAGTGGGTACCCATGGCTCAAGCCTGTAATCCTAGCTGCTTAGGTGTCTGAGCTCTGAGGATCACAGTTCAAAGCCAGCCTGAGCAGAAAAGTCCATGAAACTTTTAACTCCATTTAACCACTAAAAAGCCAGAAGTATTTCAAGTGGTAGTAGCTCAAGTGGTAGAGCACTAGCCTTGAGTGAAAAAAAAAAAAGAAAAAAAAAAGCTTAGGGACAGCACCTGAGTTCAAGGAGAGGCTCTGAGTTCAAGACCCAGGACCAACAAGAAAGAAAAAGAGAGGCGGGGAGGGCGAGGGAGAGGATGAATTAGTAGTAAATTAAATGTTTTATTTTTAGAAGCAGGGAAGGGCATTCAGGCAAGGCAATGGTAGATCTGAGCAGAGAGCTCGTCACATTTTGGTGACACTGGATTAAAGAGAGTACATGGGACAGTGAAGGCAGGCTGAGAAAGCCAGGTACAGAGAGCTGTTTGTGCCAGGCCAAGCAGCTTTAATTTGGCTCTGAAAGGTTCGTAGTAGTAGTTCTGGTCCTGTTTTAGTCACAGAGGCCTTTTAAAAACCTATTGAAAATGACAACTTTTTTTGTGCAGTGTGGGAATTCTTTGACCCTTTGAAAAGCATCTGAGGACCCTACAAAAAGCCCTCCCTCCTGTAGAGAATTGTTGGAGGGTTTTGAGGCTTGGGGTAATCACTTATTGAATCATGAAGTAACCTTTGAGGCCATGTTGTAAAGGATGAAGTAAACAGACAGAGATGAGGTAGGAGGCATGATAGGAATCCCTATGTCAGAGGCAAGACCAGAGATGGTATGGAACGGAGTGCATGTAGGAGACACTGGGTAAGTAAGAGTGAGTAGACAAAGGAGTCTCAAATAGCCCCCAGGTTTCTGATGGGCAACTCAGAAGAAAAATGAGCACCCAGATTTGCAATAAATCTGAAGCTCAGCAGAGTAGTCTGGGTTGCAAAAATGGAGGGGCTGGGGATGTGGCTTAGTGGTAGAGTGATTGCCTAACATGCATGAAACCCTGCGTTCGATTTCTCAGTACCACATACATAGAAAAAGCCAGAAGTGGTGGTATGGCCCAAGTGTTAGAGCCTTAAGCAAAAAGAGCTCAGGGATAGCACC